GGTCAAGCAGATGGTGGAATAAGTCAGCGGCAAATTTCGCAGAATTTGGGAATCCCACTTTCGACAGTCAACAGAATCATCGTGCAGTTCAGGAAACACGGCAAGAAAACAACTGAGCAACGTCGAGGTCGTCCTGGTCCATCAGAGAGGACAAAAAGGGCTGTCAAGAGGAGCATCGAAAAGGATCCCAGATTAACGACTGCAGAAGTGGCCAAAGTTGGTGGGATGAGCCCAAAATTTGTTCAACGGATTCTCCACAGATTGGGTTATCGTTGCAGAGCAGCTAAACGAAGCCCTTATTAAGACCTGCCAACATAGTCAGACGAAAAAAGTGGTTAAGTGATATGATGATCAAGCCTCTGGACTTTTGCAAGACCGTAATGTTCTCAGACGAATCAAGATTCACTCAATTTTCGGACAGTGGAAGGATATGGGTCTGGAAAATGCCTCACCAAGAGTTTTGGCTCAACAGATTACAGCCAACTGTGAAGCATGGTGGTTTCAGGGTGATGGTTTGGGGAGCTGTTTGGGTTGGTGGGAGACCGAGCTTAGTGGAGTGCGTTGGCAACATAAATTTTTCGAAATACGTCGAAATATTGGAGAAAGGACTCTTGCCACTTCATTCCTCGGGTATCGTGGACAAGAACACAACGTTGTTCCAGGAAGATGGAGCACCGTGTCACACTGCTAGAAACACCCAAAAGTGGCAGGAAGAAAATGGTATCCAGAAGTTGCCCTGGTCGAGCCAATCTCCTGACATGAATCCCATCGAAAACCTCTGGGCCATACTCGACCGGCAAGTCAAGAAACAACCAAAAAACCAACTTCGAAGAGCAATCTACTCCAAGTTTTGAACCAAGAGTGGGCGAAAATCCCACAATCTAAAATTGACGAGATGCTCCAAAGGATCAACGAACTCCACGAGGCGAAAGGAAGATCTACTAGATATTAATTAAATTATAACTATATCAATTCATGTGAATATGACTGAAAATTTTCATTTTTTACTGAAAAGGTGGTATCTATTTACTTGTGACCACGCTGTGTATAGTCATTAAAATCTAAAGATGTTAACCTTTCGTTAATTAATTGTATGTTGCTTGTTTTGTGTACGTAATTAGTGTGGTAAATTTAGGAAGCCTCAGGAATAATTTTAGAATTCTATTTTGTTGAAGATGTAACTTGTTGCTTATTCTGCTGAGCATATTATAGGTAATTTGGCACCTGTATTCTATTAAGAGGCGAATATAGGTTGAGTATATTTTGATGATGGTGGCTGAGTTCCAACCTTTGTTTTCTTTTGCAATTAGTCTTAGGCGAGCAATTCGTTTGCTGATAGATTTGTTAATATTTCTGAAGTGTTCGACCCATGTAAGGCGGTTATCGAAGGAGATACCTAGAAACTTTGCCGAGGGGCATAATTTTATTTCGGTATTATTTAGTTTTAGATTAACTTTTTTAATGTTAATTGAGACTTCGTCGAAACAGAATGCCGGTCGTGTCAATTGGATTCAATATTACTCTTCAATTGTTGCACCATCTTACAGTAATGTCGAGGGATTTTTTGAACTATCTGCTGCTATTAGGGGGTTTAGTGAGACGCTCCAAACATCAATATTATCTGCGTATTGTGAGAAATAAGTGCATTTTAATTTCAGGAAGGGTATATTATTAACAAAGATAATAAAGAGAACAGGTGAGAGGATGGAGCCTTGTGGGACTCCAGCAGTAATGTTAAATGATTTTGATAAGGTTTTATTAACTCTAACAGTTGCTGTACGGTTACTTAAGGAATTAGATATCCATCTAAGTATTGTATTGTTAACTTTCATGTTGTGGAGGCGGTACCTAATGGCGTTGTGCCAAACAGAGGCGAAAGCTTTCTTTACATCTAAGAAAACGGCTAAGGTTGCCTGATTGTTGTTAAATAACTTATGAATCGATTCAGTTAATCTGGTTAGGTAGTCAACTGTTTGTTTACCTTTACGGAAAGAGTTGAATGTTTAGTATAAGGTTGGTATTTTCGAGTAATTTACCTAGGCAACTTAGGAGGCTAATGGGTCTAAAATTATTCGAGTTTGAGTTATTATATGTTGATTTAGGTATGACTGTGATGGTGGCTTTTTTCCATGTGTTCTGGTAGTTGCTCGAAAAGAACGCTAGACTCGTGACGCTGAGTAAGTGAAGAAGATTGTTTGAGGCGTTTTTATTTATTATGTTGCAAATACAGTCATGGGCGTGGAAAGAGTTCTTAAGTGAATCGATATTAATCTTTAGTTCTCCTAAAGTAATATTTTTGTTGAATAAGTCTTGAGTATCTGAGGATGTTTGTGTTTCAATGAAAGTCAGGAAGTTCGGAGTGAATAATTCAGGGTTGGTCGCGGTGTGGGGGTCCACTGTTTGTTTAATGGGTTGATTAAACATGGAGAATCGGTATCAGAGAACGAAGATTTGCTTTTTCGCTGTTCGTTTTTGCTACCCAGGGAGCCACAGGGGTTGAGTAGACACGGTCTACTGTAAGAGATTGTGAATGTTATTTCATTTCTACGACTTCTCAAGAGTACTTTCTAGGTGCACAACCCGGCGGATCAACTACTGTGGCTTTTTTACAGCATGTTCTGTAATGTTGGGTTTTACCGCTCGGATACCCTACTTTTGACGTACACAGATGACATACATGAGAATGTAAAATTGTCACAGATGTCTTTATTAACCTTAAATTTTAACTTGAACTATATTCTTACATCTTTTTTGGTCAAATGATCTTTACTAGATTGACATAGAGATAACTAGATTCAGTCCAACAGGATATTGCTTATTGCGTGAGGATGAATATTATATATAGTATTCCCAGCTACTGCTTTTAATAACTTATGTTTAGAGAAAAATGCTCATCTGGATAAGTTTATATTTAAATCAAAAGTAGACACGTATAAATATAAGCACATAACTTCAAATATGGATACAGAAAACAACAAAGTTCAGAGATCAATTATCATCTACATCAGATTCAGGATCATTACTTTCATTAAACTGTACCAAGTACTGTGCACGGGAATATTTTAACCACTGACCCATGGCACTTGCACCCTAGATAACATGGTATTTGTTTTCAAATTCGATGACGAGGAACCCACTTTGAGACTAATAATGGCTCTTGACGGCTTGAATGGGTAATGAAGAAAAACTTTAATATAAGTTGATGATGAAAAAACCTTGTCGAAACGTTGTACACTTGCTGATATGTTAAACTTTTATCAAAGTTTTTCTTCATTACCCATTCAAGCCGTCTCCAGCCATTAATGGTACTTGTTTCCTGGCACACTTCCTTCAAATCCTTGCTTAGCCACCTCACTCATCGTCTTTCTTCAGCAGCTGAAAAAACAAGAGAAAAATGTACAGTTTAAAATAATATCTCTAAACCTTAACAATATACTTTAGCTTTAAAATATGATATATCTATGTACTGTCCACCACCTTATCAGTTTGAAATATCAAAACTACAGCATTACGTTCTTAATTACCCTTTTCTTAAACACTTGTGAACATTCTGATGATCTGTGAAACTGAGGCTTAGAAACGCAATAAAAATAACGTTTCTCTCCATTGGAAGGTTTTATAAAGTCATATTTGCAATAATAATAATAATAAAACAATTCAAAATTGCTTTTTTATAAGAGAAATACAAATGAACAAGCGATGGTATAACGTTATAACATTCTCTCTCCCCGGGTACTCTTTACTGAGCATGACACAAGGTTTTGGTGTATTATATTCAAAATTTTATCAAAGTACTTTTTGTTTATGTTATACCAATTAGAATAGCATAAAATATTAGCGAATAATCCATATTTTAATACTATACAAGTTTTAAGTTCTTAATTCTACAAGGAAATATATATAAAAAA